ATTGAGGGGAGAGGGTTGCTTTTCTGGGGTGCCCTGAATGAGGGGGGTCAGCTCCGGGGGTGACTTTCTGGGGTGGGGTTCAGCCCTGGGGATGCCCTGGATGGGAGGGGAAGTGGGGAGCCTTTCTGGGGTGCCCTGGGGGGGACGAGTTTCTGGGGTGCCCTGGGTGGAGAGGGGTGCCTTTCTGGGGTGCTTTAAGTGATGAGGGTCTGCTCCAAGGGTGACTTTCTGGGCTGGGGTTCAACCCTGAGGATGCCATGGATGGGAGGGGAAGAAGGAAGCCTTTTTGGGGTGCCCTGGGTGGAGATGGATGCCCCGGGGGAAGCTTTCTGGGGTGCAGGACCAGCCCGGGGTTCCTTTTTGGGGTGCCCTGGGGGGAGAGGGTTGCTTTTCTGGGGTGCCCTGGGTGAGGGGGGTCAGCTCCAGGGGTGTCTTTCTGGGGTGTGTTTCAGCCCTGGGGATGCCCTGGATGGGAGGGGAAGTGGGGAGCCTTTTTGGGGTGCCCTGGGTGGAGATGGGTGGCCCTGGGGGAGTTTTTCTGGGGTGGGGGACCAGCCCGGTGTTCCTTTCTGGGGTGCCCTTTGAGGGGGTGGGGGGGAATGGGGCCAAGGGGGACTTTCTGGGGTGCTCTGGGTGCACAGGGCTTTTCTGGGTAACTTTGTGGGGTGGGGTTCAACCCTGAGGATGCCCTGGATGGGGGGGTGACCAGGCAGCCTTTCTGGGGTGCCCTGGGTGGAGATGGGTGGCCCTGGGAGAGTCTTTCTGGGGTGGGGGTCAGTGCCAGGGAAGCCTTCCTGAAGCCCCCTGCCTGGGCGGGGTGGGGGTGGGAGGTGGGGAACAGCCCCCGTGGCAGTGAGGTGGGGACTGTCTGTCCCCTCCAGATGGAGAGGGGCAGCCCCAGGGGCAAGCAGAATTGAGTGCCCTGGGGTGGAAGGGAGAGGTACCCCCCATGGAAGGGGGGCTGCCTTGGGGGAGGGGTTTCTGAGTGCCCTGTTTGGAGGGTGAATCAGTTCTAGGCAATATCAGGGAGGGGGGGGGTGGGCCTGGGGCGCCCTGGGG